TTATTCCATAAAACAGATCCTGCATGATGCTTTCAGTTCAAATGCAGTTTGACATTAATACATGCCTTAACTTCCCTGGAGAAAACAAACATGCTGAGACTGTCTGCAGGATACAAATTTGAAGATTTGTTATTTAAGGCTTAGAATGAGCCCCAAAAAATAGGCAACAGTATCCAGTTGTAAATCTTTAACTCTAGTAATTGTCAGGCTAAAGTTGTAAATGCACCAAGAAATCATCTGGCATAGCAACATTCCACCTCTGCTCTACATAAGCACTCTTTGAAGAAGATAAGAGGAGTCAGAAACAGGCACAAAAGGAAAGTAGCTCCCAAGAGCTGGGAGCATCCCTTGCACAAGCAGAGCAAGCATTACAGGTTGGGTCTCTCTCCAGATTTACTGTCACATCCTCCCTGCTGGAATACTGAGCAATATTTCATAAGCTATTCATTCAGACAATGTTACCCTCTTTTGTTCATGGAAACATCTAGAAAGGAAGTTTCAGTATGAACTGTATACTGATGTTCACCCTGTCCATGCACTTCAAGCCTACCCACAGGTAGTATATGGCTCTTATTCACTGTGAGAAGCATATTCTGGAGATACTTATGTAATAAGATGGACCATTGATGCTCTATATTGAAGGTACAAACTTACAGTTGCTTGTTTTAACCAGACTTCCTTTTCTGGGGATTTTTATATCAATAAAAACAGAGCGTTAGGCACAGGCATGAAATCCCCACACAAAACACAATGGAATCAAATAGAACTGAGAGTCTGGCTTTCCTCATTACTTGAAAGTAACAGAAAAGTACCAGCAGCAAAGTTTTCCACATCGTTCCACAGGCTGGATTAGCTGAAGTTTTAATGCCTCCCATTTATCAGCTTTGTAAAAAAAAAAATAATAATAATAATTTTTTTTTAAAAAAAAAAAACAATAAATAGTGAATATGGAAATTGAACTCTGTGCTCTACCAAATTGAGTTGGTACTACAAATAATACTCGAACAAAGAACTTTAAAATTCATGTTCATCCTTGTCACTGAAATAATTACTGCATCCACCAATGGGAACCTCCTCCCCTCGGTAACCATGGAAATATTTAAAGGCTGCCAAAGCCCTGCAATTACGGATTTCCCAATAGTTTTCAACATATCCTGCACAGAAAGTCATGATTTCCTGCCACAGAATGCAAAAATGTACTTTAATTATCACAACAGAAAGGGATAACTGGTCCAAAGAGAAAGCAGAACTACTCAAAATCGATAGAAGACTGCCACCAGTTTGTAAGGTGTGTCTTATTTGCCTTGTTAGAATCAAACAGAGCTTTATTGCATATCAAAATTCAAACAGAGCTTTATTGTGTCAAAGGTTGCAAAGGGAAGGCAATTCCACTGATATGAGTGCAAAGTTCTCCTAGTTAGGAGCATGGATGCGGATAGCAGGGCCTTTGTGCAGTCTGCTAAGCAATGCTGGAACAAGTCGAACAAGGATCCTTCCTCTCTCCCCACCTCCTCACTGCAGGTGTCCCCTGCTCTGGGAACAGGCTCCACCAACTCTTCCAAGGAGATCATTAAAATCAGGTGGAGGAAGCAACCCGAAAAAGGAGGGTGCTGAGGGAGACCAGCCACCACCAGCACTGCACAGAGGAGGAATTTCCTCAGGGCGCACTCAAATCTCCACCAGACTCACTGGTTGACTTCAGTAAGCAATGCCAATCTATGTATTATTTATCTTTTACACTTCAGATCACTGCAGTTAAAAGCACTTCCCTCAGTTTTCTTGTTTTCCATCTGCTTGTATCATTACCCTAGGATCATTTTGAGTTTAATTGAACCTGCATGTGCCTACTGAAGAGAAAACCTTGGACATGCTTGGTATAAAAGCTGCCACTCACTGTTTCTGTAAGAAACTGCCATTCTAAGTGCTGAACTGCCACAGCTCCATGAATACTGCTGGAGGAAAAACGTGCTCATTGGCAATTCTTCCCCATGTGGGCGCAAGTTAGCAAGTACATATGACAGACATCAAAAGTTGTTGGCCCCTTCTCTTTCTTAGCCATCTTCTCCCACCCCCAAAATTTCTTAAACATAACATTAAGCAGCACAGAACAGGGGTGAACATGATTGACATGACAGTGTTCCTTCCCTTTTTACTGCATAACTTCATGCACCTGAGCCTGGCCTTCTACAACATCTATGAAATAGACCTGAACAAGAAGAGCCACTGAAGACACAGAGTGCTTGGGGCAGAGCTTTGGGGGTTTTTTTCCACCTTAGAACTGACGGCCACTGTGTTTAGTCTGCTTCAAACTTGCATGGAAGAGCACACACAGAATCCTTTTTCTCCAAGAAGCAAATACAGCTGCCTTTTTTTTCTTTTTTTCCTAACCTTTTCTATCTAAAAATACAGTAGTACAGAGTTATAGGAATTTGCTTGTGAAATGACCTTCCTAGCCTCTTTTTCTAATTTATTGAATCATTCAGATGACCAAAACAGAAGAATCTGGGTGTATAGGAAAGCACATACAAAGTACAGCAGTTCCTCTTTGTTTTCTTGTGCCAGTGCCTACAGAGATGTGTGCCAACAGGAGCCAGCCTGCAAATAGTTCTTCTTGTCCCTTGCCTCACTATAAGGATTCTTTGGGGACAACCATTTTAACAATGAGGGACTCATTTCATTCCATATAGGAAGATTTGAGGAAACTTGTTGCTAAGTATTAAAATGATTCCAGACTGTTTTGGTTGTTTTTTTTTCAATCAGACTTGGACACCACCAGATATATATAGGACAGAGTTCAGACACCTGGTTGGAACAGGCTTCTTCCATCACCAGCAGGCCAGATTTGCCAGGCCATCAGCAAAAAACACTGATCCAGTGCTCTTGTTAGATATCCAGTTAAAAAATGCTTTGGAAACATGAAAATCCCAAATTTGCCAAGGAGGAGAGATGGTATCAGAACACCCAGTGTCCTATAGCAGAGCAAGTCAGTGCTGATATCTGCCTGTGGCTCCTTGCACAGTTGCTTACATTCATACACCGGGAAACAAAAAGACTGCTGTAACTGACAGGGAATAGTGATTACAGAGCTGAAAACATCAGGATTTATAACTATGGAATTAAGTCTTTACTGAAGGTGAGTCACCTTCCTAGAGAAATCAGGGCTGAATCAATGAATTACACTAGAAAGCAACGCGTCTTGGTATATGGGGTTACAAACTAAAACTTGCTTTAAGTTAGAAATAAAATCAACATGTCAGTGGAAAAACTGAAGTTTATAATAATACCACATTAAATGAATTATCAAAGTTTCTTTTACACAAATACAGACAACTGCTTTGGTGGCATAAATACATGCACGTACAGTATAACACAAAACCACCATGATGCATACTAACTTTTGTGGGGATAGATAACCTGAGCATGGATAATTACATAAAAAAAACATAGCACAATATGAATGTAAGCTAATTCTCAGACTGAATTGATATTTAAGCCTCCAAGCCTACAGACATTTTTGTACGTGTACACATAAACTAATATTTCCATTTACTTCATCAGGACAATTTGCAGGCTTTATATTAAACCTGCTCTGAAGTGCTCGCATGCTTTAGTCACACCAAGGATCGTTTCACTGCTAAGATACCCTCGAGTGGCTCATGAATTCAGCAGCCCCTAGATTCCAGCACTGCTGTATCTATCACCAGCCCTGCATGACATCCCGTAATTATAGGCTGCTATCAGGCTAGTAACATCCTCAACAAGTAGAATTGAGCTCTTGAGCATCAGCGTGCAAACCACACAAACACAGAGCTCTTCTAAAACGAGAGATTAACCAAAAGAAAGCAGGCCAAATCCTGCTCTCATTTACCCCTCTTGGATGGGCTGCATGGATGCGGCTGCCAAGACGATTTGGCAAGGTGCAGTCCTTCAGCAGCATGGGCTCCTTTGCACAGCTCCTGTGAACGGAATGCAAATGCACAAGCTGTGCTGTGCCCAGCAGCAGCAATGCCATTCACTCTGCTGCTGCTGTCGGTGCTGCCTTGCTGAAAGGTTGCACTGTGTCCCAACATACACACAAGTCTAAGTCAGATTTCTCATTCTGGTTGGCTGATAATATTAATCTTGAAGCTCCTTCCCTCCCAGCAAAGGCAAACAGTGCATTTCAGAATGGTTTTTTCTTCGTGGGTTGTTTTTTTTTTTTTGGTGTTGTTTTTTTTTTGTCTGTTTGTATGTTTTAGTAAAGGCTGAAAATATTTTTTTCATTTTGAATCAGAAGGTGCTTTCCTCAAAAAAAAAAAAAAAAAACAAACCCAAAAAAAAAACCAAAACTGAATGGAGACTATGCCTGGTGAAATTAAAACTAGAAGTAAACAAGCAGAAGATGTCTTGGAAGCCATTTCCCTGCAGGCAAAGTAATGGGCCTCTGTAATTCTTATTCAAGGAAGCATATCAAAAACTGAAACAACATATTTCATTCAAAGTCTCGATCAGGAACACAGCCAGGTTTCACCACTTGCAATGCCAATAAGATCTCTGCTAGGGTACATTTGTTGCTGAGCCTATTCATTTCTTCCTTTTTTTTTATTGATAGGGATTCCAAGCTTTAGTGGGAAAGTGCCCAGTTACTGAAACACAGAACATAGAGCAGCATTAGACCTATTATCTCCACATCCCTCCAAAGCAGCCCAGTAATTTCAGGGTGGTCAGGTCCTATATGATCTCACTCTCTACTGTTGCAACCCCTCATTCCATGGAGAAAAATTGGCTTTTGGGAACTCAAAGGAAGGGAAAAAATGCATCACAGAAACAATCTTAAAGCATTTTAGTGCTCCACAAGACAAGGTAAGGAAGACACACATAAGGCTCCCCACACAAACCTGTTCAAGCCTGCTGAGCAGCCATAAGCTGCTGACGGGGGCAAATCTCCCTAGCAGAGAGGAAAGAGGAGAACAAGAGGTCATTTATTCCCCAGTAAGATCATCCTGAAATTAGAGACATACCTTTGGGATCTATCAGGTCTACAGGCTCAGATCTCTGCTGTTCCTCCTGGTCCTTCACACCATCCCTGGGCACCTTGTACTTATCTTCTCCCACCTGGGTAGGTCCAGTCACATGACCTGTGAGCCTCAATTAGGGAAGGCCTTGATGAGTCATGATGAGCCTGATGCCCATCCTGATCCATCTCTTTGGAGAGGAAGTTTTCTACTTGTGGCTGCACTATAAGGCACACACATCCCATTACAAGCAGGATTAGCTGCCAGACTTGGAAGATACACACCAGCCAATGAGCGTTCAGCCCTTTTCTTGGGCAAATTGTATGTCTTTAAGCCTTTGCATACTCTTGTAGGCAACCATAAGCCAGAGGTAGTTCCAAGTCCAAACAACCTGCTCCATCCTGTCACCAAAAAGGCAAATTGACCTGTCCCAGCTGTGTATCCACACCATCAATCACATTTTGAAACACAAGCAGAGCTCCGTGTTTAACTCTGACAAGGTAAGAGTGTTAAGCACTGCCACACTCTGTGTTGCAGCAGTGCTTCTATGTGTGCCATTATTTTTATTGTTAATGGTAATAACAAAAGATGAAATGATAAAAACCTGAGTAGGATGTATGCAACAAGTGTTGGGATTTATATAGAAGACAGAACCGCATGAAACGAGTAACAATTGAGTTTTGAAGTCTCATTCCTTATAAACTGATCAACAGATACCTGAGAATTTATAAGTACTTTTTTTATTTAGTACTTAATAATCAGATTTATCAATCAGCAGTGTTATTTATAAGCTTATTTTATGATATGAAAATTAATTTATTGACCTGAAGTAGCAGATAAATTAATCTTTTTGTGTCTTATAGCAACCTCTGTAATTGAAGGGTTATGGTTTACTGGCTGTTATGATTCTGTAGTAACATACAGTGTAAAGAGGGAACTGCAAAGAAACGCAGATGTAAAAAACAAAATTCATGTAAGGAAATGGGAAAGCGATGTTTTTTTTTCTCACCAGGAAATAATTTTACAAATAGGACCCACATTTCTGTAAATAAACAGTTGCCTTCTCATTAGCTTTGCGTCAACCTATACTAAAATATACATCAGAGAAGTCTGTCAAAGCAGTCACAGAGGAAAAACAAGAGCAGAGTTTAAAAGCAAAGCCTTCAAAAATTGTTATGCTTTTCAAGTCTAAGCAGTAAACAAGACAGAGGAATGACTTGAGAGTTGGCAACAGACTCTCGCAACTGAAAAACAATACATTTTTTTTAAGCATAAAACTTAGACTCAGTCAACTGTCTGCAAGTGGCTTGCCGAGAAGGGAGCTGGACATGAGATCCTGACATGCTGTGAAATCACAGCCCTTAAAAAACACCATCCAGAGTCCCAACCCAACTGACAGTCAGAAAACAAGCCCTACAGACGTGGCTGCTGGACCGCAGAGCAGCTGAGACTCCAAATGCGTTCTTTTCTGCCTCTGCGGAAAAGCCAGGGATAAACCTTGCTTCTACAAGAGCAGGGGATCAAAACCAAAGAGAAGGTAATTAGAATATTTTAAATGATAACACAAAATAGTGTATTAGAAACAGAGCAATCCATTGCTGCTGAGCAAGCCCTGGCAATGCTGAGTCACCCACAGATTTGCACAGCAGCAGGTGATATCTGAGCTCTGTTTCTTGCTTGATGCTGCTCTGAGCAACCAATGCAAGGGTCCCAAGGCATAGGGGAGGACTCGGCTCATCCACACTGGAGCTGAGGACACCCTGCATTCCTATAGGGTCCATGCCATTGCATTGTCATGCCCACACGTCTCCCGGATAGCTGCACTGTCTCCACTGTAGTTACCTCCTACCATTCATTTTCCCATCTAGGTACTGTATGTAAGTTTGTGACACAAGATCCAACATTGCATTGAATCATAGAATCTTTAAGGTTGGAAAAGACCACTGAGATCGTCCAGTCCAACCATCCACCTACCACCAACACTGTCCATTAATCACATCCCTCAGTGCCACACCTCCACATTTATTGGACACCTCCAGGGACAGTGATTCCACCATGTCGCTGGGCAGCCTGTGCCAGTGCCTGACCACCCTTTGGAGAACTTTTTCCTAATATCCAACCTGAGGTTCCTCTGGCACAACTTGAGGCCATAAGTTATGAAGTTACGCTGGAGGGAGTTCATTTCCCACTAAGAAAGCAGGGGGGGGTGGTACAGGGGATGCTCCACTTTACTTTCCAGGTCAAAAAGAGGGGGGAAAAAAGCAATATAGTCATGCCTCATGGTACTCCAAGCATTTCTCTCTCAATGGAAACACATTTATTCTGGCAAGCTGCTGAGTGCTTCAATCGGATCCAAAAAAGTGACAGAGCATGAAACATTTTGGATTGATCTGATGCCCTGTGACATGTGCTGTGGCCTTGTTGGAGAGACCAGAGTGCTCTGCAACTTGCAGAGCTGGAAAGCACCTGCCCTGGATGTAAAAACAAAACAAAACAAGGTACTGCAATCTCCTTCCTCAGCCTCCAATGTCCAGAAATTGTGTTACCTTAAAAATTCACTCCATGTCTTTCTTACAAAGATCCCATTATCGTTTTTTGTTTTAGACCACAATGGAAAACTTTACATTCCATTTAGTTATTTTGTTATCTAGCCTCTTCACTTGACTTTCACTCTCAGAAGGAGCTATAAGCAAACAGCAAAATGCTTTAAATAGCTTGAGATGCCTTTCACAGAAATCCTCATGTCTCACAGCAAGCCTAAGCAAATGGGTATCCCTGACCAGCACAGCTGCTCCAAAGCTCAAGGGCATTTCATAGCCTAAGCAGCATCTCTGAATTGTTTGCTCTTATTAAAAATGGCATTCTTAAAAAGCACAGAGTACTGGCTTATATCTGCTGCTATTGAAGACAACAGCAGAGCTGTCATCCACTCTAGTGGACAAAAATAAGCAATGTCTGATAACCCCAACCTGGATGGCACAGCACAGTTCACCTCCATGTGATAGAAATGCATGCATGAAGATGGGATTCCTCCCAGAATTACTGACTACTGTATTTTAAAAATTGACAGTTGCTCTTTTTTCTTCTATAGACTGCAAAATATCTGACCTAGCATGTCAAGGAGCTTTGAAATCATGTAGCAAACAGGGAAGTTGGAGGCACCAGGCATCACAGCCCCTGACCTGGATGTATTCAGATGTGCAAAGTTCCTTAGAATGAAGGTCTGAAGAAAAATCAGTCAATATCATTCTTAGCAATATTTCCTGTGCTCTTCTTTTCATTTTCCTGCTAGTACATATTTTCCAGCACAACACTGAATCTCTCATTTAAAAAAAAAATACAGGCTGAACAAATCGTCAGGGTAGAGCTCATTTCAAAACCAAGAGGCTATTTTTTCTGGCCAGCCTATTTCCCTGCTTTGTGCCACCCCAGTAACCCTCAGCCAGCTTTCTTCCTGCAGTGCCAGATGCTCAGGAAGGACAGCCCAGAGCAGAAGGAGCTGCTCCACAATCAGGTGTGAGTCAGCACAGGCAGGTGCACTGTCTGCAGGCTGCAAAACAGCTGAGTTTGTACCCAGCCTGCAAGCTGTCCATGTAGCAGCACCTTTGCTGGATCAGACCCAGAGCTCTTGGCTATTTTTCCTTTCAGTGCTGGAGATACTGGACATGCACCAAAAGGGCTGCTTGTGAGTTTCCTGTACCTCCAGGAAATTCATGCCTACCCCAGGTGGTTCAGGAGATGTTTGTCCAGGGACTGGCTGTGACCCAAGGCTTGATGTAAACTTCTCCTGGGAGCACATTTCTTTCTGAAAAGTGATAACCCAAACAGCTTTAATGCCCTTTTGGCAAATCCGCCTCTGTTATGTTGTCACGTGGAAGAAAGCTCACTTCCTAGCAGTTAGCCCCTGCCTGCTAGGAGCTGTTGGCATTGCCCAGGTAGTCAGGAGGAACAGCACAGAATCACAGCATCACAGAATAGCCAGGGTTGGAAGGGACCTCAAGGATCATGAATCTCCAACCCCCCTGCCACATGCAGGGCCACCAACTCCTCCTCATTTAATACTAGACCAGGTTGCCCAGGGCCCCATCCAACCTGGCCCCTTGAACACCTCTAGGGATGGGGCATCCACAACCTCCCTGGGCAGCTGTTCCATCACAGGGCAGAGGCTGAGCACAAACACAACAAGACCTCATCAATTATTAGAAGTTACTGCAGAACTTCTGTCTGCCTCTCTGTACACCATTGTAGTCATTCTTGTGCTGCTTTTTTTTTTTTTTTTTTTAATCTATTTAGGTTAAACACTATAAAGAACTTACCCAACAGGCACAGACACCCAATGTGCTGCTTGTTAACACAGTAAATAAGTGATGTGCTAAAATCACTTCCAAAGAAATAGAAGTCTGTGAGTGGATGGGTATGAACACTAATCTGGGGCGGGACAGCTGTACAACACATCTCCTCCCATGCTGTCCAGGAGAAAGCAGAGTAAGAGCTTCAACAAAGCTTAATATACCCCCAGGCTAATGGGAAACTAGTTCTAGATAATGGTCTGAAGGAGCCCTGAGAACACATGAATCATAACATGATGACTGTAGAATCTGTAGCATGCTGCCGTAATGAAATCCAAAGCAACTAGGCTATGAAGAATCAGAAATAATTTTGGAGATGGGAAACCTTTGGGAATCTCCCTAGCTGCTGCCATTTTAGGAAAATATCATGGTTTTGTAATCTGTTTGTGCCCTTGAAGAGAGCTCTATCTGCAACACAGTTGGGTGATAAATCCTAGCTATTAATGTCATCTTTCCCCACCCCCCCTAATTGTCAGGAGCAGAAAGCCTTCCATAATGGAAAGAGTGCATACAGAACCACAAATAGCTCATGCAGAATGCACAAGGTAGATGTAAAACGGAGTTCAAACACAAATTGACCAAGTATTTCATGTCAGTGAAGCATAGTGGGACGAGTCTATCACAGAGGGAGAGGAGGGAAGCTTGTGGAGTACCAGGGGTGGTCTGACCTAGGAGGGAAAGAAACTGGCCACCCAAAATCATTATGAATGCCGATTTTCCACACC